TGAACCCATAATGCTGCAGTCTTTTCCTATTCACTTATCAAGCCCATTTGAGTTATAATTTTCTCCTTTAAAGTCCCAACGATTCGTAATCCGTGTATGTATTCCAAAATAGTTTGCTGACTGTCTGTATCTTTCGATTCATTCACTCCTGGTTTCGTAAAGATTGCGGATAATACATATATCACTTTTTTCATGGTCGGTAAAATCACATTCATCTACGATTGTGATTAACAAAGCAGCTTCAGTATAAAAATTCGCACATAAACAGCGGGTATAATTGTTAATGGTAAGCATCTTTTCCGTAGATTTTTCGGCATAAATTATTGTCCAGGCTTCCTTTAGTCCACTCTCCTCCATTATCTTTCCAATACAATCCAAAAACGACATGATGAGATGAAAACCTCCGATTCTTATGAACACATTCTTCATGTCAATTGCACCTGGCACTAAATTATGTTGAATAGCAGCCAATATTTCACGAGCTTTTATGTAAAACTGTTGATCGAACGTGAAATGGTACATTACGTGTCGAGCAACGAAAAGGCATCTTTTCAGGTCGTGTGTTCGAGGCGCGAGCCGCAGGCGAGGGTTAAGTTTAAGGTTTCAATAATTGCAAATTCAACTCAAAAAATATCCTATTTTATCTTATTTTTCATTTTTTTGTTTCTCCCGAATTTCCCAGGCATCTGGAACGAAATAGTACATTACATGCCCGAGCCTTGGAAAACAGATCACCGTCCCCCACGTGCAAGATTGCCTTTCGATGAAAATGGGGTTTTTCAGGTCCCGAAAAAAAGGACACGAGAAAAAAATTTTTTTGTCCAATTTTTTTCGCTTCTTCAATCCCAAACTTCATTGCCGAGTAGAATGCAGTGTCATCAGTAGCTTTGAGATGTATGAATGGAAGGTATTTAATCTTTGTCACATCGTACATAGTAGAGTCTGAATGTAACTCCATGAATCCATTGCAACCTGCATGTTGTGGAATTTTCAACCAGTGACCAGCAACCCAGAGAAGTTCACCTAGCAACAAAAACGTATCGGCTGGCTGGAGTGGACGTAATTTTCGGATATCTACTATCTCTGTTAAGCACAGTCCGTGACATTCAGGCTTATCGTAATTAAAAATTGGTATCCGATTCTTGGAAGCAATCGTTGATGCAGACAGTGGATGATTGAACCGTTTTATACCTAAACTAAGTTCCGTAGAAGACGAAGGCGTAATGCGTTGAATATTACCAATGTAATGGAATGTGTTCTTCACATCAATAGTATTGACATCATAATCATCATTGTCGAATATAATTTATAACAAGCTATCTTCTGACGGTTGAACTTGAGGAACCTCTGCCATAACTGCTGACTCTTCGTACAATCTAGTTTCTTCGTGTGATGTGCAAAGGCCTAATCGATTGAGAATATTTATTAACAATTTCGATTGATATTTTGAATGTACGTACAGTGCCAATGCTACCTGGTGCGACGAGATGAACGATGTCGGTGTAGTAGCGGACATGATCGCATGAGAAGCCTCAGTATCTTACTTCTTCAATAAGATTATTTCTTTCAATAGTAACATCAGACTGTCCGGGATCATATCATGGATATTATCATGTGAGAAAAAATCTGTTGAAATTGGATAATATTTCATGTCAGTATCTTTTCCACGAATATCTTCTCTAATGCTGCCAGCTTCAGAATATTACGCTTACGTTCTGCGTCACTCTCAGCAGGTAGATTACTTTCGAGACAGTCCATCAACACATTATGTCCGAGAACGTTCAAAGCCATAACGATCGTTTCCGTACCTCGATAACTCAAAATGATATTATTACCGTATCTATCACCAAGTACCTGTTTGAGATATCTGAATGATGTTTTAATGCTTTCTTCGCCATCAATAAATCGATTTGATAGTATGCTTTCAAGAACAAGCCGTGTCGCTTGATTTTTTCGCCCGTTGACTGGACTAAACCCGACGTCACCGTTGCTCTCAGCTCCTGGTGATGCTCATGGCTCTTCTCGGTGACAACAAGCGCTAATGGCGATTAATATGAATGGCTGTACCATCACAGTTGTTGGTTACTAGTAAAAACTCGAGCAGACGCCGAGAGCGTTAATTGTTTTCACTGTTTGGAGTCTGCTCCATCCGGCGACCACACAATGGCTCGAGTCCCGGAATCTATAATTAAAAAAAATTCAATCCTTCCCTTCCCTCCTCCTCTTATTGATAATAATTTTCAAGGACGATAAAGAAAATAAAATACCATTTTTCACTTGGGTTATTTAAAAAATCCCCCTCTCCTTCTTCCTCTTCCGCGAACATTCAGTTTGGAAAAGGGGGCAATATTTTTTTAATCGACAAAGTAAAAATTCATGTGCCTCGTGTCAATTTGACTCGTGTCAATTGAAAATTTCACTTTTATACCATCATTTTCTACTTTTCCGACTTTCAATTTTTACTATGATCACCAGTAATTTTTCGGACTCCATTATACTTTAATTTTATCAGCGGTATTTTTTCATCCAGCATCGTAGTTTTTTATTTGAGAACAAATAAAAAACTACGTCGTAGTTTTTTATTTGTTCTCAAATTTACTATGTTAAATAGTAAATTTTCGAGTGTGGCGGATATGATCCTGCATGAGATTTCTCATATTAAGAATTACTATTTTCCTACAGTAAAAAATATTTTTATATTTTTTTCGTGAACAGCAGGTTGTATTCAGAAAATCATAAGTGTCCTACTTGTTGATGCATCTGCCCTTTCGTCCACAAGTTTACAACACACAGTACGCCTCCACTCAAAATTGCATGGCCGCACAAATGTCAGTAATTAATTCAGTGATACCTTCGGGTGATGCATTATGACTGATTATCATAATTATTCGTGACCGGAGGGTGCAAATCACGTTCGAAAACAAATCAGTTCAGTGGGTTGAGCTCACTGAGGTAGGGCTATTATTCTCCACTTATTCGATCTATCGATCGATGGTTGCCATTCCCCAGCACGTACGCATTTACTCGGCATGCAGGTATGTCTAAGTGTCATAGAACGGGCATACATACACAGTGAGCTCGAATAATAGTGGGAATGTGTCCGCTAACGAACATCCACGGGGATTATCGATGGAATCGTGTGTATACTTAAAGAGGAGAATCCCACGTGTATTTAATTTCCGTATTCCGTATAAGATTCATGATACCTCCATGAGCGCCAGTAATGAATATCGAGAATATCAGGAATCATCCGAGAATCAATAAACTAATATTCTGGTACACAACGCTGCAACCCATGCAGAATTTGCCGATATATACAATACGGCCAAACATCGGTCCACTATCCGGTCGCCGAATATCGGGGTCCGATGAAAGGCCAAAAATCGGCCCAATATCTGCTCGCCGAACATCGGGTCCCCGATAAAAGGCCAAACATCAGCCCAATATCTGCTTGGCGAACATCGGGGCTCTGATTAAAGGCCAAACATCGGGCCAATATCTGCTTGCCGAACATCGGGGCTCTGATCAAAGGCCAAACATTGGTCCAATATCCAGGCACCAAACGTCGGGGCCCCGATGAAAGACCGCTCCACGGCCGATGATCGGAACCGACTTAATATTTGTAGGCTATTTTTCGAATAAATGAATGGATAGCATGCATTCATCCTCTTTCCTAATATACAGAATATAGATATCGATACCCCGGATGAAAGCCTAAATATTTTAAGAATAATAAGAATTAATTGTAAATTAATTAATTAACTCTTCTCATCAGAGTTACACTTTCATTAACTAATTATTGATAATTAAATTCGCGGATTCAAACAAACACACCATGTGGCATTTATATCCCCGAAAAAAATCTGTCTTCATAAGAAATTTCAGATGGCTCAGTGGACAGTGCGCTTGACCCCTCACCTATTAAATAACGATGTGCTTTTTTTTCCACAATAAAACAATTTTCGTTTTTTTAGCACAAAGTACGATAACGAATGCTTCGGTAGGAGCAGTAAAAACAACAAAATATACTGTTTTCGAAAGAATAATTTATAAAATAACCCGTGTAGAAAAATTTCTGTCTTTAGGTCTTCTAGAAATCTTGGGAAGAATCTTCGAAAGATTATGTAGATCTGCTTGGTGACCCAAAAAGATTCTTCAGAAGACAAAATCTTCCAAAGACAATTTTAATTTTCGATCCTTACTCCTTTGATCCTTACTTTTTTGACGCTCAAATTACTAAGCCCTGAATTTTGGACTTTGAAAATTTTGACCCTTAAAATTTTGTCTTCTGAAGAATCTTTTTGGGCCACCAAGCAGATCTTCTACATAATTTTTCAAAGATTCTTCCCAAGATTTCTAGAAGACCTTCTAAAGACAGAAGTTTTTCTACACGGGAATCTTATAAAATAATATTGTTTAAACTCGAGAGCCCCAATGAGGGCCATAGTTTATATTAAATTGATACTGTTCATAAAAGTTTTTTGATACTTATTTTTAAGATATGTATATATTGTAAATATGGACGTGTTTTTGAATTAAAACCTGGTTAAACAAAAAAACAGCGCGCTTGACTACAGATCAGAAGGACTCGCGATCGAATCCCACCGGGGGCAATTTTTTATTTTTTTAAATTCCATTTTTTCCTTTTTTGGTTTGCTGGAATGGATAAGAAGGGTTATAAAGCGATTATAAACTATTGGAACTAATATGTATGAACGATTTTTAAATTTTGTTTAACCGATGGTTGGCTGATAATCGACGCCAATCTTGGCCGTACATCGGTGTCTATGATGGCCCGAGGTAACGTTCCAACCTTCGGCCGAACATCGGCCGAAGATCGCAACCGATTATCGGGGAACTCGGCGCCGAGTTTGGCCCGATGTTCGGCCACTTTGTATTGCCCTGCATGGGAATCGCTAAATTAATGAGCGCGAGATGTGCATGCATGGGTTGCTCGATTAGTTCATTCAATCGATAAATTGGTGCCTTTCATATTATAGCTGGTGAGGGGATGGTGTTGAAGCTGGATTTCCGGGATCGCTTTGATCTGGAGGCGGCTAAAGACAAGGAGGATTGCAAATATGACTTTCTCGAGGTAAGAGATGGCCTGTATGGTTATGCGACTCAAGTTGGACTGTTCTGTGGCAAGTCATTCCCACCGGAGATCACGTCTAAGGGGAGGTATCTGTGGTTACATTTCCATAGTGATGATACCATTCAATACAGCGGATTTAAAGCCATCTGGACCACTATACCACGACCAACTGCTCGTAAGTTTCATGATTTTTATGGCGTGTAAACATCTCAACATATGTTTTGGTTGAGCAAGGCTTGAGTAGACCTCACTTTTACGACTTTTCTTTTGAAAATGTTCCAACAATACAGGTAGATTGCCGAAAGTTAGGAGTACGGACACTCATGTCTATAAGCTAGGTCAATTTTGAAATGTGCAAACATTGCAGGGGGCGGTTCCTAAACAAGCGGAAGAGTGGTAAACTTGATTGAGTAGTCCTATTCAGACCTGCTGGGCTTATTTACTATATTGACATGAATTTACCTATGCAAAGATGAGCAACAGGCAGCGGGTTCACTTTTCCATTACAACAGTAGTATTTCAACTTAATTTTATAAGAATATTCATTAGTAATTCTAATTTCCGATAATGTTGTCATTCAAAGAAGCGTACACAGTCGAATTGTAGAAACGTTTTCTGTCATTATCATCATAATGCTATGCACGAAGAGAATAGTTTCAAAATCGATTTTATTAATATACTTTTCAGTAAATATACACGGACAAAATATAGAACTATTTTTTACCGTGGGAACAGCAATGTTTTCCGTTCTGCTCTTGCCTTTTCCTCATCAGGGTATTGGCATTACTACGAAAAAATATCGTTCGCAACGAGTGCCATGGGGCTTTTCCACTAGCGTGGTTGACCAGTCCTCGCCTTCGGCTCGGACGCCAACTCTACGTGAGTAACAAAACCCCACAGCATTTACTCTGAAATATACTATTAATATTAGAATTCCAAAGCAGAACTATACCCGCCACACTTGAAGATCCACTGTTTAACATACCCATTTTGAGAACAAATGAACAACTTCGTCGTGATGGATGAAAAAATTGGAGTGACAAAATAAACATGAGGAAGTTTGTTGGAAAAATGACTGTTGAACATAGTAAAAATCAAGAGTCTGTACAGCACAAAGTGGTAGCATAAAAGACACATTTAATTTTACACGAGTAATATTTAGAAGGATGACCATGATTTTTAACTTCGTTGATTAGAAAAATTTCCTCCCCCCCCCCTCCGCCGCGCTCAAAGAAGATTATAGTAATGTCTAATCAGGTAGAATTGAAAATTAGGTATAAATTACTATGGTAAATGTCAGAATTTTTCTTATACGTCCTCGACTACAATGTTTATGTACTAATTTTCCTACGATTTACATATTTTTAATTTCAATATATTGCAATGAACGTTGGAATACAACGATGATCTGACACTCACATACACAATGACATTGGCACACAGACACCATGCTATGTATACACACAGTAACACCCGGCACAGCCAGGGACACTGTACGATAGTCAGTTCCAATACACTGTACACAGCAGACGTGCTTCTTTACGTTTATCTAAACCTCTTATTAATTAACCCAGTCTATTCTCACATCCTGATTTATGCTATTGACTTCTCAGTATATTGATCAGTATATTCAACAGGTTATGGGCCTTTACTGAAAATATTGTGAAGTTTTTTTTTTTCTTACAAGTTCAGTAAAATCAGAAGTTGAGGTGTAGTGAATTTTCTTCTCTCGTCAAAAATGGTTGACGAAAAAGTGAATGCTTTCGGCATCACAAAATTGAATGAGGAAAACTACCAGATCTGGAAATTTAAAGTTGAAAAACTGTTAAGGAGAGATCGTCTGTGGGACAATGTAATTTCATCAACTCGACCCAGTGGCACGAGTGAAGAGCAATGGAACATAAACGATGAAAAAGCTAATACTCTCATCAGTTTGCTAGTTGAAGACAACCAAGTCACGCACATCACGACTGCCAGAACAGCAAAAGAGGTATGGGAGGCACTGAAAGATCAACACGAGAAGTCCACACCCATGGCAAAATTCTTCGTGATAAAAGATCTATTTAAAACAAAGCTGAAGGAAGGAGAAGATATGTCAGCACATCTCAACAAACTCCAAAATCTATTTGATAAATTAACATTCCTGGGGAGCAAGGCCGTTGATGAATTTGCAGTCTGGATAGTTATAAATAGTTTACCAGAATCATACGAAGCAGTTATTACTTCCATCGCAACGAAAAGCGAGGAAGAATTAACAATGAAACTGGTCAAGGGGACCTTCAACGCAGAATATAAACGAAGACAAATGCAAGACACAAATGATGAGCCGACAGAGACAGCTCAAAAGGTAAACAAAACACACAAACGTTATCTCATTTGCCTTTTCTGCCAACAAGCAGGTCACATTCAAGCCTATTGTACGAAATATAAGAAATGGCAAAAAAATCAGTCGAAATTAAAAAGGAAAAATAAAGCAGCAGCAGCCGAGGAGGACAGCGATGGCGAAGACAGCACAACAGAGTACTTCACAGCCTACACCGCACGGATTCAACAGGCATCAACAGAGACGAATGAAGAGGACAACAGCAAGGACAACAGCGAAGGAAGACACAGTGCCATGATGAGTAACAGAGATAAATCGATATGGTATTTGGATTCGGCCGCCACGTCTCACATGACGAATGATAGCGATATTTTCGAAGAATGGAACCCAAAATACAGGTCCACGGTTAAAGTCGCAAATCAAAATACGAGCAACGTATACGGCATTGGATCAGGTCACGTATCATGCACGACCAGCCAGGGGAGAGAAACAAAAATAAAACTCAACAATGTGCTATTTGTTCCCGATTTCAACTCAAGCCTCATATCAATAAGCACATTGGATAGAGAAGGATACAAAATCCAAGCAAATGATGGATGCATGAAAATTTGCAAAGCAAATACAGAGCTCGCAGTTGCCGACTTGAAAAATAAAATGTATGAGCTAAGATTATCGCATCGAGGATTCTCCACTACAGCAGGACACGCTGACTCCTGCATCCACACATGACATGAGAGATTTGGCCACAGGAGCATTACAGCAATAAGAAAATTAGCAAATGAGAAACTAGCCACAGGTATCAATATCAAAACCTGTAGCATAACAAAGGTATGTGAGAGCTGTATCGAGGGGAAGTCAGCGAGAAGACCATTTTCAAAGGAGTCTCATAGCATCACTGAACAGACGTTAGACTTGATCCACACGGATTTATGTGGGCCCATGCCAGTCAGAACACCCAGTGGTAACAGATACATCATCACCATGATTGATGATTACAGCAGGTACACACATGTTTTTCTATTAAAAAAGAAGTCTGAAACATGTGAAATTATCAAAAATTTTGTGGAATATTGCTGTACACAATTTGGGCGCAAGCCAAAGTCTTTCAGATCAGATTGTGGAGGGGAGTACATAAGTGGAGAATTGAAAAATTATCTACACGCAAATGGGATAAAAATCCAGCTCACAACCCCCTATACTCCGGAGCAAAACGGTGTCGCGGAGAGACGTAACCGCTACCTAGTAGAAGCCATCAAAACAATGCTCATCGATGCTCGCCTACCCAACAAATATTGGGGAGAAGTAGCCTTAACGGCAACTTATTTACAAAATCTACTACCAACAAGATCAAGGTCAACTACACCGTACGAGCTCTGGCTTCTAACGAAGCCAAATGTCACTCACTTGAGGACATTTGGGTGCAAAGCCTACACCCATATACCACGACAACGCAGAAACAAACTGGATAAAAAGGCAATAGAATGCATTCTAATAGGCTATTCAAGTGAATCGAAAGCCTATAGATTATTGCACAAACAAACTGGCAGGGTTTATGTGAGTAGAAACGTTCATTTCTTGGAATTGGACCGTGCTGAAAAAGAAAAACAACCGGTTTTCTATCTCGAACAAAATGCCCCAGCAACTTCAACCCAACAAGTAACTCCCAAGATAAAAGAAACTACATTTATCCCTCTCGAGTCAATTTGGAACAATACCTCAACAACAAACAATGTCCAAATTAATAATCCAGGGGAAGACATACAACAGCAGCCACCAGAAATATTATCAGACCAAGACGATGAATCTTCTGACGACACACCCCTAGCAGAAAGGCTAGTGAAAACCCCAGCACCAACAAATTCAACAACAAGCTCAACCAGCAGCACTGATGACCTGAAGGACGGCGATGGATATGACGAGAGTGATACTGAAGACACCCTGGACGATTCGGAACCGAAAACTATGCGTCAAGCACTTGCAGGGCCGCATGCGGAACAGTGGAAACGAGCAATGCAAGAGGAGATGGACTCGCTCAAAGCAAATCACACGTGGGACCTGGAACCGGTGCCAAAAGGTAAGAAAACCATTGGAAACAAATGGGTTTTCAAAATTAAACGACATGCAGATGGAAAGGTGGATAAATTCAAGGCCAGACTGGTGGCTCAGGGTTTCACACAAAAATACGGAGTAGATTACGACGAAGTTTTCGCACCCGTCGTGAAACCGACTACAATTAGAACACTATTGTAGGAACTCCATTGCAGGAAAAATGAATTACGAAGCAAAGCATTTTGACGTAAAAACTGCTTTCCTCAATGGAAAATTGGATAAAAACATCTACATGAGACAACCATCAGGTTTCATCACCGAAGGGCGCGAGGACTGGGCTTGTAAATTAAATAGAACTATTTACGGCCTCAAGCAAGCTGCAAAGGCATGGTATGACAGGCTAAATGAAGTATTGACGAACTACAACTTTGAGGTCAGCGAATACGATCCTTGTCTCTACAAATACAAACATGGGAAAGATGTCATGTACCTAGTAGTACATGTAGATGATATCATCGTAGTTAGTTCATCAAATAAACTAATCCAGGCATTAAAAGAAAAATTTCACAAATTTTTCAGCATCACAGACTTGGGGAATCTGAAACACTACCTCGGAATACAAGTGAGACAGAACAAGAATGGTGAATTTTCAATCAAACAGATGAGCTACATAGAAAAAATATTGATCAGAGCAAGACTCAGTGATGCGAAAGGGAGCAACCAGCCGATGGACCCCGGCTACGAAAAACTACGTGCTAACTCACCACCTGAAAATGACGAGCATTACCAAAAACTAATTGGATCACTCCTCTATGCCTCAGTGAATACAAGACCGGACATCACTGCACCTGTCGCAATACTTGCTCAACACATTAAAGACACGAAGCAAGTTGATTCAGTGGAACTTCGAAGAGTATGCAGATATTTAAAATAAACAAAAGATTACGAATTAAAACTGAGTAATAGAAACATCGAGGAACAAAATCTGATTGCTTATGCTGACGCAAATTGGGCAGAAGACCGTGAATCCCGAAAATCCAACAGTGGATATATTTTCAAACTATTTGGCGGAACAATCAGCTGGTGTAGCTGAAAACAAAGTATTGTCACCCTATCATCCACAGAGGCTGAATTAGTCGCCTTGACAGAGGCCTCAAAGGAGTGTGTTTGGATCAGGAATTTACTAGAATTTTTCAACCAACAACAGACACAACCGACAGTAATTTATGAGGACAATCAGTCCTGCATAAACAGTCTTCGTGCAGGCTCACCGACGAACCGACTAAAACATGTGGATGCGCGATATCACCGCACCAAAGAGTTGGAAAAGGAAGGAAAAATTAAAATCACCTACTGCTCAACTGACGTAAACCAGGCCGACATGCTGACCAAGCCTCTGGGACCACAGAAGCTGAAAACAATGACAAAAAACATTGGACTAGGAGAGGCAGAAGTGGAAATCATCTCAAAATAAATGAACATTCATCACCAACTATACCAACCATCGTTGAGGGGAAGTGTTGGAATACAACGATGATCTGACACTCACATACACAATGACACTGACACACAGACACCATGCTATGTATACACACAGTAATACCCGGCACAGCCAGGGACACTGTACGATAGTCAGTTCCAATACACTGTACACAGCAGATGTGCTTCTTTATGTTTATCTAAACCTCTTATTAATTAACCCAGTCTATTCTCACATCCTGATTTATGCTATTGACTTCTCAGTATATTGATCAGTATATTCAACAATGAATGTCTAATGTCTCCAATTACATTCTTTTGTTCATGCATTTTTTATTTTTCCTCCGAACTTCTCCTCTCAAGTTAGCGTCACTCAGTTGTTTCGATTCGTTAATTCTAAAAAACTAATATTTATTGAAACCAGCGTACTGTTCAATATTTTTTCCGTGTATGAGAGTCAAACAATAGGGAAGTAATTTCGAGCTTCTTAATATGGTATCTCATGTCTCCTCAAGCCGTTTCAGAAGACGTTAAGATGCTTACACATAAATCCAAACTATTAACAATTCACTGTGTTTTTTTAATCCTCATAATTGCTAATTACTCATCCAAACTTTTTTCAACTCCAAATGACCCTAATTAGCATTTACTTCATATTCAATTATCGAAATCAACAGATCAATTACGGAGCTTAATGAAATGATGAGAGGCACCAATAATGGGTGAATCCACGTCCCCTGCAGAAGCATTTGTGTCACTGAAATTAATTCATCCAGTCAGCATCAGGGGAAAATTCCCATTAATATGTCCCAATGATAATTCTTTTTTTTCAACTCACCCACAATCTCTGGATGGCTTCCAATTTCCATGTATAATAAAAACAGACATGGGAGTGCACTTTCGGTGAATTCAGAGAAGTTGTAATAGGTTTGATTCACAGCTGGGGTACCACCGGAGGCTGAGCCCTGCATTAAGTACGTGACCCACAAGTATGAAGCGATGATCAACACTACTGAGATTGAAGAGGAGAGGGCTGTGGCGCAGAAAAACGCGCTACCACTTGACTGTCTCTGGATCGTTGAGGCTAAACCTCAATGGACGGTACGTTTTACAATTTCTCATTGTGTGATTCACAGAAGGAAGAAAACAACCAGGCAACTGTAGATATTCTATTCAGGTCCGGTGGCCGCACATTCAGTTAAATATCCAATAAAGGGGGTTGTCTACTTCTCCAGTGAAAAAGAATGATCGTATTCGGACAATTTCAAACATTCAAAATTAAATAACAAAGTGTTTGCAGTCTGTCGAAAAGTGATACTGGGGCACCCTCCAATTACCCATGTCCCTAGTTCTGCCACTCGTATTTGAGAGCAAGCTAACTTATCAGAATCTTTGGTACTATATAGTTATGATAGAGGGAGGATATATAGTTAAAAATCCACGGTGTTCCAGCCCGTGGTGTGCGGAGTGACGTATTTGAATTGATGTCTTTTTAACTAGCTGACATTTCAACTGCTGAATGTTAAATATACAGCAGACAGATTATATTTTTAGAAAATCCTTCCCGAAATTTCTTGAAACGTCTACCATCAAACAAAATAGTCGTGTGTTTACAAATTCACACAAACAACTACATTATCCGGCGGAATAACTTGAGAGGTGATAATCCACACGAAATCAAATAAAATCACCAACATCCAAAATGTGCTAAAACCCGCCGAACTTAAAAATTTCCTTTGGTTTATTTTTTCCGTGGTCTTTTTTTCCGGGAGTCATTATTATGCAGATAAAAAATTAAATCTTTGCATGATATTAACTAATGATATGTTAGTTGAGTGGTTAAATCAAGTTCGATTATGTTATCTATTAAAAAGCAAAAAATAATTAATAGAAATGAAAATTGAAGATTTTTTGCTAATTCTTGTAAATTTAATAATTTTTTTAAACCAGTTAATAAGTTCTAGTTGAAAATTTCAGTTGTTCAAATGTCATAGTTGAAACATCGTTTGAAATGTCGCCTTGTTGAAGAGACAGCCACCAAACATTCTGGTCTTAGAGTGACTCAAATTTCAGAGTGAAATTAGCACCGAGCCAGTCGTTAAACCTGAAAGTGCCATTGATAATTTTATTGACACCGTGAAAAATGAAAAAATGTCCATTTTAGACTGCTCAGTCTAAGCTGCACTGAGTCAGTTGTGTCATTCACTCCATACCGGTGTAATGAGTTGGAGTTATTTGAATATCCCGCGCCAATCGATCCTGAAAATATTGGAATAAATTAGAAAATTAACGAAACGCGTCGCTTGTGATTCAATGAGTCACTTCACAACTCACATGAGAAACCTTGCTCTCTTGCTTCTCAACCTATCACATGACCGATCAGGCTATTATTTCTACCAGTTTTGTCATTTGAAGTATTGAGCACTTGTATTAATTACAATTTTGTCTTCATTGAGATCGATAAACAGTATAATTATCTATTCTTTGACTTGGAAATAGAAGTATTTTATTCAAATTTCTTAATTTCATGTGAAAGAAAATCATCGCTATTGCTAACTAAAATAAAATAAATATTGCAAGCTAACGGATCCATATTTTTCATCATAGTTTTGATTTTTAATTAAATAATAATTTCATCTAAATTACGTTTCTCTCAGTGTTACTCGTTCTAAAAATATCCATTTTACAATATTCAGTGTCAACTGCACTGAGTCAGTGTTATCATTCACTCCATGCAGTGTTACTCGTTACACCTCCTCGGTGTTAGCGGTAACACTGGTAGTCCACACCGAGACCGACAAAATCAACACCGAATTTTTTTACTGCGTATGTATATCATCTTTCGATTCATTTCACATTTTATAAATGATCTAATGTCATTTTGATGGCTATTACTCGTAATATCACTGCCGTGCATTATTTTTTCATCTGGCATTAACTGGCACCTAATGATTGCAGTAACTGCAATACGGCCTTCCCAAGTAGCAGAAATTGGCATATGGCGGAGATTGTCTATTTATCAAATATTATGAAATTATGAAATTAGCAAAATATGAAAAAAAATCACTCTCTGCTTGGTGTGTTGATTTGACGGATTACGCGGAGAGAATATAAAATTGAAAATTACAATGTGAACATAGTAATCAAGGAGCATACCGAAACAATTTTAAAATTTGATTTATCTTGAGCGAATTTTTACTTGTGATAAATTAAATTTTACTTTTATTCTACCACTTTCTACTATACTGACTTGCAATTTTTATTATGTTCAACAGTAAATTTTGAGTGTGGCGAAGATGGTCCTTGATTACTATGTTCACATAGTCAAAAATAATATTTTTTTTTCCGTGGACAATAAAAAATTATTCGACCCTTACTAAAGACACGGAAGTTTCTAGTAGCATTAAGTGGATCATTGACCGTAAACCGTCAGTTATGGGAACATGTAAATTTGAACATCGATGGATTATTTTACCACGGAAAATGTTTAAAATTCATACAAGCAGGAGAAAATTAACCCTAGGATTAAATGTGTGCTAAATTAAATAAGGCTACAGAATGAACAAAAAAATATTTTCCAGGGTGAATATCCGGAAATTATTAATCCTAGGATATAACTCACTCCGAGCATAAATTTTCCCCTAGGATTTATTGCTTGACAGGGCTTAGTGCAACCGTGTCATTGATGTACATTAATACTGTTTTGTCATTCCGGCCAGAAGGCAGCGGCTTCACGGACGCTACGCACCACGGCTGTTATGACAAAGAATATTGTTCGTCACACGATCGAAAAAAACTTTTCTAGCACATATGATTGCAGCCCTTGTCTTCGGCCTAGACTGCAAACTCATCTGTGCCAGAAAAGCTTTTTTTTGGCCTAATGACGAAATGTACTATTTCGTCATCAATACATTGATGGCAAGCTTCCGAATAATTCTGTTTTGGTTGCCTGTATTGTAATCATCATAGTTGTTGACATACTCATTTATTTATTTATTCATTTATTTATATATATATTTATTTATTTATATGTATTTTCTCCAGCCCGAATTCCCTTGAAAACATCCCTCGTATTAAAAATGTTTTGAATTTTATTTCAGTCCATTGGTGCATTCGTTATTTTTTTATTGAATTTTGAATTTAACGGGTTTCGGTGATTTTGGGAACTTTAACATTTTTCTTTCAGACTAGACGGCCTAGAAGAGTTCTGGTAACCCTAGATTGGTCACTATATGAGGGAAACCCCGCCGCGCGTCGCTTTTCTTTAATTACAATTGACTGGCTAACCGGAAAAATAAAAAAAAATGTGACTTTGTTAATTGAAGTGTCTAAAGAATTATAGTAGTTTTTAAAACAACATATTTCCCGAAATTTCTAAAGAAAACAAATTATTTCGAACAGATGAATTATTTTTCACATGTTAAATGAAATTGCCCATCACGCGACGTTGCCGGAAACTCGCTAAACGCACCCGGGCAGTGTAGAGTGAATTCGGCAACGCTAGAGCTTAAATAACACTGCGGGGAATCCCCGTGGAGGTGACCAGAGTCGCAGGATCGCGTTTAGTGACCAGACTAGGGTTTACGGATTCGGAATCAGCGGAATTCAATTTTTTTAATACGGGTAACTACATACCTAGGACAGCCAGGGTCGAAATTTTGTCGGACTATGTAATGAATAAAATGGTTAGCTCTATTTCTTAATTACACTAATGAGTTTTCTTTATGAGATTTGATTGGGATCGATATGAATATTTTGTTCCATAATTCGCGTGAAGCATTGAATCTCACGTGTGAATAAATCAATTTACTGTAAATAAATCTTCCATTCCAAATGAATTAATGTATTCATTGGCTGCAAATACTATAAATCATTCAGTGATTCTCATAATGTTTGTGTTTGTAAGGAGAAGCAATTTCTCACACGCCACTATATAGTATTGATAAATATAACAGACAGTTTTGTATTGATTTTGGTTTTCTCCAGATGCAATTGAACTTTGATTCCTTCAAACTTGACAAGCCCAACGACTGCGATGCAAATTTCATGTCTGTATTTGATGGACGCACAGAAATGACCGCATTACTGAAGAATTTTTGTGGGAGTATCGCTGAAGCTGTTTCAACCAAAACCAGTACCATGTTCATTCGATTCTACATGGAGCCAAAAGCCATTAACAGTACCTTCAAAGCCCTTATGACTGCTGTGCGAGCCAAAGAGGACAAACGTGAGTTTGATTAGTTTTTCATATGACTAATTAGCTTGAAATAATGAATCATTGATTATTCATTCAACTACCCTGCTTCAATTAGCTCTTTGTTGAATTTGACGCTCAACAACTAGAATCAAAAAGCGTGATAATGAAGGCTTTATAGATTGATAGTATCACGTGATGGATTTCTAAATGAATAAGAGGAAAATATAATTGCATGTATTATGAATCATGACGAAAATCAAAGCCATGTGGCGTATTAAAAGTGGAAAATTGAACTTTTCTGATGGCACAAAAGTGCACTCTGCATAACAGACTCTTCAAACAATACACAAAAAACTCTAAGGGTAATCTAACCCGTCTTGGGATTGATTCAACCCCAATTAGAGGGAATTTATTGAAATAAATTGGGTGTATTTTAATCTATGCGGGGTTAAGTATCGGGGTTTAGTATACACCCAATACATTAAACATATCAATCCATCCATTCACAACAATAATGTTGTTGAAGTGAGTTGAAAAATTACGAGTTTTATTTGATTTAAATGCCTAATTTCCCTGCTTGTACTTCCCCCGAAACAAAAGTGTATGTCTCAATATCTGACTTGATCCCACTAGCTGACCATTTTTGAACATTTAACGTACTTTCTGAGTGCTGCAATTTATTATTTGGTACCACATGTTGGTAGTCTGTTTAGAGGATTAATTTGACACCAGCTAAGTGAATTTAATTCGAGGCCATCGAAAGTTATGATGTTCTATTTGTATATTCAGCTTGGGTGTTGAGCTACTGGCATTCTCCGAGCTCTTTTCCAAATTTTTTTATCTCCATGTGGGGATTAATTCATTTTAATAAAGGTTAATTTACACTTAAAAAAGGATAATACTTTTGTAAAAAAAAACTACGCCAAGGAAAAGTTGTGTTGTGTTTGTAAAATACAAAGAAATAAAAAAATGCCAAATCAGTAATGTCAAATAAATAGTCATAAGGCCCATAAGGGTTATAAGTCGAATGAGGATTGGAGAAAAATTCAATATCAAATGAAAAATCGGTAGAAGCAGGTTCAACATCCTTGGCGCGGATTAGAACATAGAGGATTGGGTAGATACTCGACTCGTTTTTTCACAAAAAAATTTGTTTCAATTTCTTTAAGAACATTTTGCAGATTTTTTCAAAACAGCCACCTGGTTATTCTTCTAACCTTTTATTTCTGTTTTCTGAACTGGAATGAACATTATTTGTTGTTTTTCTCCGCTCATGAAACAGAAAGTTCTTCTGAATTTCAGTCCCATAACTTTCGAGAATTCATTTATGCACGGAACCCAATTAAACAATAACTGTGGAATTCATCATTCATGCACCAAATTAAATTTGTAAATTCCCAGCCTCCCTCCTCGATGTGCATGAATGTATTGCACTGCTACCAACTCCGTAATAAAAAAATTATAGGAGATAATGAGAAATGCGAGAATGCACTAATGAACCCGTTACTGTGCTAGTAATTTTTTAAAATATTGATTCGAACAAAAAATAGTCACATCAATGAGAAGCTTGTGGCCAATTTATATAATGTAACTAAGAGTATTTTTCATGTACCTTGTCACGTTTGTATTTTATTTAATGGATGTGATTCGGAGGTAGTGGAGGGGGTTGCTTCGTGTATAAATACACGGCAGCGTTCGGCCAGTTTTGTACAGTCAGATTCAAAACTTTTCCGTGGCCGATACGCTACCGCGTTTCATTTTACCCATAATTGGAATCAATTTAACCTTTAGCCCTTGGGATTAAAGTAACCTTAAATTTTTTTTGCGTGAATTTGAGCAGTATCAGTCGTCCGAAAATCCCATTACACAATATCAACTGAATCTCCTTTATGTACCGAAATAGACTCGAATCGTGTTCGAAATTACCGCGAAACGAGGCATGAATCGGTAATGCATCAGACTCATTTGCGAAGACCAATGATGAACTGATGAAGGATTATCGAGAGCAGCAACTGATGCATGTGGCATTATTGCCTTTCTATCATTCCTTCGATACTCAACATCGTATTGCTGTACTATCCAATAACATAACATTGGTCAACAGACTAATGACTAATCTAGAAACTATCGCTGGCTATTTCATGATGCGGCGTTGGAATAAAGACCTGTAATTTACTGTGCAGCTTGCATGGACGATGAGTATGATTGCGATGATGCAACGTGTATCGCCTGGGACTTACGATGCAATAAAAGACAAAATTGTCGTCTTGGCTGGGATGAAGATGACTCCATTTGTGGGGTGAGTTTTACTTGATTGAATTGTTATGTTTCAACATGTGGTAGTAATTTTGGATTCTTGTTACATACATAGAAATGTTTTCATGGAATCCCGACATAATCCCCTCGGGATTCTAGCCTATCCTAAGGATAACCTAATCCAGTATATTATTTACTGTATTCAAATATAATTTTCATCAACCGCAGATCGATATATTGATTTAATAGAATTGTCGTATATACGCACCGGGTAGAAAAATTTCTGTCTTTGGAAGATCTTCCGAAACTCTTCGGAAGCCCGGTGGCTTGGTGCAGTGGGTAAGTTCGGTGCCTCACATGCGAATGGTTTCGAGCTCAAAACCCGGCCGGGTAGAATGGTGAGATCTAATCATTTAGTGTCTTGATCATCATCGCAGCATACCTTAACCGGGTCAAAGCGATATAAAATAACGATAAAAAAAAACTCTTCGGAAGAAATCATCAAAAGATCATCTCAAAAAACTTTTTGGTGACCTCAAAAGATTCTTCGGAATAGAAAATCTTCTAGAGGCATTGTGAAAGATCTTCAGAAGACAACTTTTTTTTCTACCAAATCTTCCAGAAAAAATGTTGGAAGATCTTCGGAAAACAACTGTTTTTTCTAGGAAATTTTTCAGAATATAAGTTGACAGATCTTCGGAAGACGCCTTTTCAATGTCTTCAAAAGATTGTCCAGTAATTTTTTTCTGTGTTAAAAATTAACAAGATGCAGATTAAGTCAAGAATTATTTAACGTACTAAAATTTTTATTTCACTCATGAATATTCACTCCCAAATGTCACCGACTTTTCAATTAAAAACTAAAGAACTTATTTACATGAAGTTTTGCTATTCATATTAACGTTTATATAAAAATTAAATGGAAATTTACAATTTCTATTGACTTTTTCATCAAATTGTGAATTTTCAATAACGAAATATATATTTGTCGCACTTCATTGCATTTGCTGAAATTTTTTTTATTATTTTTGTTGCCTCTATTCTGATCTTTATTCATTGATTCGTTTGTTTATATTGGTTCATTTTTGTGTCCTGTAAATGACTTTGTTTATGAGTGCATAGTCTATAATTGATTTAAACACTAACCTGAGAACATACTCAGTAATATTGACTCAAATCTCCTACCGTTCCTTTACTAGACCATTCAAAAATTTATTGAAAATTGACAACAATGCTGATTACCCGTAGTTTTCGAAAAATATTTTCCATCTCGATTATTACATTCCATTCACTCTCATAATGAAAAAGCGAAAAAAATTAAAAAACAAACGGGTCTTCTATTTCCATCATCTGGGTGGGCATGAAACTACCACCGCTGCTAAAAATCAATGAAGCTATTTATTGCAGCCCGTGTAATACCATTGTCTGCTCGATGCTATTATTTTCAAACAAATCGCTCGCACCTATTGTATATTTTCCCTGATCCCAGTGACTTTCTGTACTATCAATCACATTATTTTCATCGCGTTTCCCTGAAAATAAATTTGTGGGTGTTTCCGACTTTTGTACTACACAATGCTATGTATGCTTTTGGCAAAGATCCAGAATAGGATACCCAGTGCATTGGCGAGGATGGGATATTAATCCGGGGAGTTCTTGTTTCATACCGATGACTCTCCTTCTGTCTAATTTCTTTTTTGTCCCTTTTCCAGTTTCTTCGCGAAGTTATGCGATTGTCATATTTGTAGCGTAGTATTGCAAGTCAATGACTTCGAATTTTTTCGCGGCTTTTCTCGGTTGTCGGATGGTGTATGCCGTCTATACGGGAGAATGTTCAATTTTAACGTCAAAGAGACACCCATCTTCTTTCACCGTGGAAATAGGAATGTGCGCTCATGGCGTCAGCAAGATCCACCCAAAATAGTGTCATTGATGCGTACAAACTCAAGTGCCATCGGATCGCAAGCAATTTGTGCCTCGGTCAGTCAGTAATCCTTCTCACCCCCGATTCGTTCATTCAAATGAAAAGACATCGAACTCGTGACGCCCACATAAATTCGGGAGAATGGTCAATTACCAATACTGCATATTTTATCCAACCACGAGGAAAACAAATATCCTCGAATAGAGTATATAATATTCTAGAATCAGGAACATGTGTATTCCTGAATCCGGTATATTATATTCTCGATTCCGTAATCCAGGATAATTCATCCTTAATTCTGGAATAATAGTCCGGAATCTGAAATATTTTATTCTCGATTCCAGAATAATATTCCGGAATACGGAATATTTTATTCTCAATTGCAAAATAATATTCCAGAGGCTTCCTGGCATTGAAATGTTGTACACTGCGTCTATAAAAGATGACATGCGCTGACGACGCGCCGTCCGGATTGAAGTGTGGAAACCACATTAAGAAGCTTATTTTTATGCTTTCTTTGTGATTTTTTTTTGAAGGGGAAGAAATGACTGGATTCAATTCAAACTGCGAGGTCATTTGATTCATATTTCAAACTACATTTCAGAGTTTTTTCAAGTATTTTTCATCGAAAATTGCAAAGTTATAAGCTGCTGCTCATAGAGGTCCGTTGTCATAGTTCACTTTCCACGTGCAATGTTCAGGTCACAAATTTCAACCAAAAGCAATGAACAGAATTTTTTACATCATTTATACATGTTTTTTCATCGATTGAACAAATTTTCAGCAAAATAGTATATTGTGCATCAAGGGCGGAAAGTCATGTTTTCCCGCCCGAGGTGCAGATGCTATTTGTTAACACGCCTGCAAAGGAAAGTTTGTATTTTGCTGTCTGATGAGCGGGAGGAAAGTACTAACTTTCCATGCAGGTGTGTGAAAAAATATTAAAAATTGAAAAATTGAAAGGCGTTTGACAAAAAATGTAAAATTATCACTTTTTTTGTTCTTTTTTTTTAGAGAAAAAAGATACTATTATATTTTTCCAAAATTAGGTTCAATTAATAGATAAGTTCATAACAAATAATCATAACTTTGGCTTTTCAAAGTCGGTCACTAATTCGCCGAGTTATATCCCGCGTATAAAAATTTTTATCTTTCAAATATCTTCCAGAGATTCTTGGAAGAATCATCGGAAGTTTATGTGAAAGATGTTCTTGGTGACCCAAAAAGATTTTTCAGAAGATAAAATCTTTCAGAGAAAACTTCGAAAGATCTGTAGAAGATAAATTTTGAATATCTTTGGGAGCCGATTTTTTTAGATTTTCGGAAGTCATTTTTTAAGAAGATCTTTGGAAGACATTTTTTTTGCAGATCTTCGGGAGACAATTTTTTTTTCAGAAAACAATTTTTTTTCTCAGAAGACAATTTTCTTAACGCGTTGATCATCCGTTTGTTGTCCGTAACTGAAGCTCCATGAACCAGCTGCAATCTCCAATTCGTTCATGACCATTAGTAGGTCAGAATTTCCCACGTTGAATAAGACAGCAGCTAAAAATGATGCTACTTCTATCGCTTTCAAGCCACAACGCAAATGTTTTGAAGTCAAACGCCAAACGCCTGTCGAATTGAAATTCTCGTTTACATTCTGTGTGTGACCACCTAAACACCTTGTCAGTAAATCTTCTTTCAACAAATCTTCAAATATAGGAAGTAATTCCTTCTGCACGTCGCGGTGTAATAGACTTCCTGCCCCAGCGGTAAACTGGAGCACGTTTCGTTTCATACCCATAGTATATGAAGGACTTCGAATTTCGCTTCGAAACTTCTTGAGCATATTTTTGAATAGATATGTTAACGATTTATGTAATAAAAAAAAAATCGATTCTTTGAACTGCCTAATGTGGTTTCCTTCCTTAAGTGAGATCGGGCACTAATCAGGAAGAGCACTCAGGGAAGTATTTTCATACGTTATTTCTCTGTGGATACGCCATTTCGGCTGGCAATTGGGGGTGTTGCGAATTATTAGTGGGTTTTACGGGGCAATTGGTCGTATTTTGGGACATTCTTTCGGGATTTTTGAATTATTATTGCCACCAGCAACCTCCTGAACAGTTTGAAATTGCTGGGAGATCATTGAGCTCCTCACTCTGATGAACACTGTTCCGCATCACTACACGAGGTGGAAGTTTCGGAGGCCCCAAACCTACACTTCGTCACTTTTTTATTTTCATTACCTTTCCTGTTTACTTTTCTCTTCGAGTCACCAATTTGACGTACACAATTGTCCAGAGAATGAATTTACCCTAATACACGGAGAGAAATATTCAATAAAAATTACATATATTTTCCGTAATCCGGAGGGAAATGGGGTTGTAGTAAATGTTACGGAACTCTCACGGAATTTTTCCAGAGCGTTCCGTAATTTTTATCTGCATCTCCTGTGAAAAATTACGATACCGTCACTTAAATTTTCTGAGTCGATTCCGTAATCGATGAGCGAATTGTGAGTTCCGTATTTTTTACTGAACATTTCTTTCCGTGTATCGACTGAGGATCTGTTTGAAAATGATATATACTGGATTTCGAAATATTATCCCGGAATTGAGGATAAAATATCCCGGATTCCCAGATATTACTCCGGAATTCAAAATAAAATATCTAGAATTCTGGAATATTATTCCGGATTACAGAATATAACATCCAGAATTCAAGAATATAGATATTCCTGATTCCGGAATATTATACACCTGATTCGAGGATATTTCTTTTTCCGTGCACTATTGGCAGCTTTTGTTTTTTCCTGTGGCTCACCTCTAATTCGAGTAATTGACGCTGACAAATGAACAAAGTTGTCGAGGGAAAAGGTGACATTAGTCTAGCACAAAGTGAAAACGGTTAAAACTCTATGAATTGCTGTGAGTGGCAGAACGTGCATTTTAGTCATGCCCCGAACACATGGGGGATGTTTTCAGGCACCCAGAATGTGTCAATTTGAGTGTCGTAATTCGATCAAATTATTTATTGAGTGAACATTGTGAAAATGTCAAACTCGAAAGGTTGGTTGAACGTTTCTGGCGGGTGAAAAAATTGTTTAATTGAATTCTTTTTGTGTTTGTGACATA